CCCCAAAACCCCAAAACCCCAAAACCCCAAAACCCCAATAGAGCTAAATAGGCTGAATAATTGGCTAAGAATTATCAGGATTGGCCAACCTGCATTTTGGTCATACTAGTGCTTACTGTCTTTTGGAAATTACATCGGCAAGATCTTCAGATGCTATAGAGAAGTTACTAGGATAAAGTTACCTATCTTCAAGTACTTCTTGTAGTGAGTTCTGTCTTCTTCAGCAGCTTGGTAGAGGTCATCAAGCTTCTGCTTGTCCTCCTCCCTACCAAGGTTGATAGGGCAGAGTCTAGTGATGAATTCTTCAGCATAGTCTCTGTGTTTGGTCTGGAAGACCAAATTCAAATTTTCGAAGAACTTAGGAGCATACTCTGCCATTAAAATCTCGCTGCTGGAAGAGTAGAACCAATCCATTGCAGCACAATACTCTTCCTTACTGTATTCAGTACCATCAATGAAGGAGTTCCACCACTTTTCCTTGTTGTCAGGGTTAGCAGCGTCGCATGCTATTTCGAGCTTCTTTTCTTCGAAAGTCTTGGAAGCGGTGTTTGCTTCGAGGAACTTCTGCTTAACTTCTGCATTGATTTCATGAGTTGAATGGATTGAGGTGATTAGGTAGTGCCTAGATACCTGGGTCAGCTCAAAGTCTTCATGAACAGGGTTACCGTTAGAATCCAAGATTGTGTTCTTTTCTAAGAACTGCACTGCTTGGGTCTTCGAGGACAAGAACCTAACCACATACTCTGAGATAGAGTTTCTGTCGTGCTGATTCTCAGTCTTCTTGAATAGTTCAAGAGCCAGCTCATAAGAGGCTTGGTAAGCCTCTGCTTTATCCGCTGGCTTTGTGTAGGAAAAGTTGTATTTGGAGATGCTGTTGAGCAAAACTTCAACAGCATTCATACTTGTCTCTGAAAGCAAGCTGTTCTTGGCAAGTGTGAAATAATTCTCAAATGGAGTCTGGTTTGCCTGGTAATATTGCCACAGAGATCTGTAGATAAAGTTCCTGTTCAGGTCAGATTTGATATGTTGGGTGTTTTCCTTAAAATACTCAATGGAAGCTTCGTCAAACCCGATTCTGCAGTATCCGTAGTTGTTAGAATTGAGGAGGATTCCTTTTGGTGTAGCCTTTCCGGCAAGCTCTTCAACAGTGGTGACCTCCACACCTTTGATGAGAATGTTATCAAAGAGTGTTTCTTCGTTGTTTTCATCATAAAATGCAATCTGTATTTTCTGGCTTCTGAAGACTTCAGTGGAGTTCTGTACACAGGTTTGAACTATCTCGAACTTCTCAATAGTTTGGCCATCCTCGCTATAGATGATCCTGGGTTCAATAGAGTTGAATCCTTGGGTCTTAAGCCAAGTATCTGTCCATTCATAGATATCAAAGTCATCATCATTGTTTTTCTTGTAAGCTTCATCTAAGCAATTGATGAAATCAGGTAGCTCAGTGTTCTTGTATTGGAACTTGTTGAGATATTTGCTAGCAGCTTCCTGCATCACATCCTTTCCAAGCATATAACTAGCCATGTTGATGAACGAGGCTCCCTTGTCATAACTGATTGGGTCAAACACGCTAGTGGCGTCTTCTGTGTGCTTAATTGGTGCCAAGATAGGATGAGTGGTAAATCTCTGATCGAAGTTCATTGCCACAAATTTGAAGGTCAGGAAGAAGCATTCTCCATTCTTAAAATCGGCAAGATTCTCACATGAGGTAAGGCAGAGAGCCCCCATGAAATCTGCGAAACTTTCCTTGAGCCAGAGATCTTCCCACCACTTCATTGTGACTAAGTCTCCAAACCACATATGAGAGAGCTCATGGAGGGTGACATACATATGTCTGGTGTGCTGTTCAGAGGTCCTATCGGACTCCTTCCTGAGGAGCCTCTCAGAGAAGGTAATGGCACCGATGTTCTCCATCGCTGAAATTCTGAACTCAGGGCAGAAGATCTGGTCGTACTTGTCAAATGGATACTTTAGCTTGAAGTACTTGTTGAAGAAGTTGATCCCTTCGACGACGGTTCTGAATTTATCCTTGAAAGGTACGAGATCTTTCACGCTTTGTCTGCAGAAAATCTTCATAGGCACTTGAGCTTTGGGATCGTCATTGTTGAAATGATGGTACTCCCCTGCACCAAACATGTAGATGTAGGTACTCTGGAGAGGGCTATCCTCGAAGACATGGAAAGATCCCTCTTCAGAGATCGTCAAGGAGGTCAAGTCCTCTTGGTCAATGAGTTTCTGACCTTTGTCAGAGTCCAGGTCAAATCGTTCCTTGAACTTTCCGTTTCCTATCGCAACCCACTCTCTAATTGGACAATGAACTGTTAGGCTCAGGGGAGCTTTCAGGTCTGGCTGGTCAAAGCATGGGAAGATTCTGTGGCAGAAGAAAGGCTCGAGATGGGAGTAAAGATATACTCTATCATCTCCTGGGTCTCTGAACCAATGTAGCCCAGCTCCGTTCCTAACGTAGGTATTCTTGAACTTGAGAGTGACTTCATTGATTCCTTCTGAAAGAGTCTCCTTTGGGAAGAAGATCCTTTGATCTTCAAACTTGAAGTCAACTCTTTCATCGTTAACTTCAAGAGCAGCTATGGCTTCTCCTTGGAAGTCAAAGAAGAGCTCGCTCTCTTCAAATTCAGTTGTGTTGAGCTTGAATTGAGTGGTGAGTTTCCCTCTGAAACTCTCTTCAAGTCCGTAGGACATAAAGAGAGTGTATCTGACATCACTCACTATCTCAGATCTCCTCATCGCTTCTGTTCTGTAAAGACTGATGTTTTCCTTAGTGAATCCTGGGTCGTTCTTCCACTGGAAGAAGAGAGGGACAGGGTCCTTCTTGGGAATGCGCTTTCCCTTTCTGAGAAGGAGAGCTCCTGCAGTAACTACGGTAGCGGCAGCTCCTAAGCCAAGGCAGAGTTTCTCATTTTCCTTGTAGAACTCTTTGATCTTTTCCATTTTAGATATTTATGTAAAATTGGATATTTTTATTCAATAAGAGTAAGTAAGCTTGGGGTTTTGGGGTTTTGGGGTTTTGGGGTTTTGGGG